GTGTAGCCTGTATAATTAAAAATTGTAAACCGCCCGGAGAGTGCTTGTAGCGCTATGGGGCGGTATATAAGTCCAATAAATAAATAAATAAATAAATAAATAAACTCCCTCCCAGAGGAGGCCAGGCTGGCCCCATTTCTATTGTCCTTCTGAAAGGCCTCTCTCTTCCGGCAAGCTTTCCTTTAAATGGATTGTTCTGCTTTACTCCTGTTACTATTGTTTTTAGCTTTTAATATTGTCTTTTGATAACGTAAACGGCCTTGGGTCCTTTTTAGGGAGAAAGATGAAGGTAAAACTACATTAGATAAATAAACAGAATTTAGTAGACCCAGGGGTTCAACGTGCCACGTGGGAACAGAGGGCGAGAGGATACTGATAGCACTGCTTATTAGTCAAGAAAGCTAAGTACAGAAGAAGCCACAGAGACTGGCGAAACGTTAGGAAGAACAACCTTCAGAACAAGGCCAAAGAGCCTGAAAAACCCAGGACAACCACATTCTTTTGTTTGCCCTGAAGAAGACTTCTGTGGTGGCCTTCTAGACTAGAAAAGCATCTGGTTGCCTGATACCAGAAGCAGAGACAGATTTTACTTAGAAAGCTATCTCCCTCTTTTCCTAACACACAACCCCTGGGGCAGTTTATAACAAACTGCCAGCAACAGCTTGGTAGCAACATCAGTTTTCCAACTTACAAAAATGGGGGAGAGAAGAGAAGCAGCTCTCAGATCTCAGAAAGCTGTGCAGAACAAGGTGTGTTTTATTTGCCATTTAAAGTGCTCAGTGGCAAAGGCCTTTGTCCTTTCAGCAACACGATTCTTTCAACTTAATGGCATTTCCAATGCCTCTTAAACCAGTCCGACAAAACAAGTCTGAGATATTGCCATTCTTAAAATTATACTACATGTACTCTCCAGTCCCCAGTACAATTTTATCTTTAACTTCTTTAGTCAGGTAGCGAACAACCGCCTGGCACAGGTGAAGAAGCACCACAAACATCCATTCGCTGGTGCCACCAGGGCTGGTCACTAGTTTTTTTAAGCAGCAGCAGCAATTTGGGCTCTTCAGTGGACCCCAGAGGCAGCAGGACCTGGAAGTCGGTGTGTGTGTGTGTGTGTGTGTGCGCGCGCGCACGCACACACACACACACACACACACACACACACAGAGAGAGAGAGAGAGAAGACTCCCAACTCTTGCTGAGCTGTAATTGCTTGCTCCCTATGGAGATGCTTCCATCCTGTCCCCTGGAAAAGAAACCTGATTATTCCGCCTCCCTTGAAGGCAGTAAAACTCTTCGAAGCGACAGGCCAGCGATCCTGTTACTGTAGCTTTCCAGAGTCCCTCCCTGGCCGCCCCTCTCACGCAGCCTCGGAAAGCGGAGGTGGCGCCGAGCGCCCATCGGCCCGGGTTCCAGGCTCCCCGCGGAGCCCGCCCCTCCCAGCCCGACGACGCGGGGGGCACCGAAAGAGGAGGGCAGTACCCTCCTGTACCTCGAAGAGCGGTGGCGGGGGGAAAGCGGCACAGTTTCCCAAGTGGTCGCCCTGGGAGCCAGAGCGAGGCTGTCAGACAAGAAGCAAAACAAAGCAAAAGCGAAACTTGAAGAAGGCAAAAATGTTGGGGCACCAGATCCCGTTCCTTAGACCAGGAGGCGGGCTCGATCCACCAAAGCTCGCATCAGAATATTGCAGTTAGTCTTTAAGGTGTCACCACATTTTCGTCTCCCCACCCCCACCCCCGCTTTGCTGTCTTTGGCTTCCTCTTGTGTAAGATGGGGGGGGGGGGGGAG